AAGGATTGCAGTATGGCCAGGGCCCCTGAAGATAAGTGATTTCTCATTTTCCCTCTCACTGTCTATATCTGTCTTTCTCAGTAAGCACACATGACCTATTGGGGGAAAAAAACTTAAAAAAAAGACCCCATCTGTTAAACATACACGCACACAAACAAAGTCAGGGTCATATTGTAATTGGTTTTCCTTGCCAACTCAAAATTAAAGGATTTCAATAACAAAACCAAAATTTCAGATGACAGTAGAAGGTATTTTCAGGTAATATGTGTTACTAACTATATAAATGTTACTGGCATGGAAGTTAACAGTTCTTAATGTTTTAATATTAATACCATATAAATGATTTATGTTTTAAATTATTTAATCACATAAGCCTAAAATTTATATGCCTGAATGTTTTAATTTTCCAAATTTATTTTGTTATCAAATAGTTTCCTTGTTCTAGAAATATACTTAGAGAAATTTATCATGATTTATGAAGTTCTGAACATGGTTGGCAATTTGATTGCTTTATATTAATATTAAACAAGAAAAGAGATTAAGATGTGTTGGCTTTATTTTTCATTTCGAATCTCACAAAGAACTCCCAGTATTTGGCACAGCACAGGAAACAACTGATAAAAAGACAACCTATGAAATAAGAGAAAATATTAATATTTGCAAAGCACGTACCTTATAAGGGGCTAACATCCAAAATGTATAAGTAACTCAAACAAGACAATAGCAAAAAATAAATAACTCAAATTTTTTAAAGAATTATTTACTTAATGTCATTATTATTATTTTTTTTAATTTGCTGTGGGGCATGTACAGTCACCAGAGTGAGACAGAGAGAGAAAAAAAAAAGTGAGAAAGCAAGCCGCCAGGTCCAGAACTCAAACTACAGTCAGAATCAGCCATATGGGAGTCCAGTGCCTTAACCACCTCACCACCTCTTGACCCCATAAACCAGTTTTAAAATGAGCAAAAAACCTTGGGACTAGCAGTTAGCGTAATGGCTATGTCGCTGGACTCCCACGTAGTTGACCACGGTTCGAGTCCCGGACCCAGTGGCTTAAACTCACGCCGGGCGCGTGTGTGTGTGTGCCCAAGATCCCAAGAGGAGAATGGAGAAGAAGGGATTGTGACGAGAAATCCCCTGGGGGGTGATTTCTCACTTTCCATCTCTCTGTCTCTGTCTGTCTGTCTGGCGAGCGCACGCACCCTGTAGCAAAAACCTCTTCAAAAAAAAGAAAGAGCAAAAAACCTGAACAAACATTTCTCAAAAGGTGGCATACAAATGGCTATATGAAAAAATGTTCAACATTTTATGTTACTCACCACTGAAGCACATATTAAAACCGCAATGAGGAATCACCTCACCCCTGTTAAAATAGCTATTTTCTTTTCTTATCTTTGCTTTTCTTTTTTGAATTGACAGAGGGTAATGTACTCACCAGAGATTGACAGAGCAAAGTATAAAGTATTGTCAGACTGTAGTTCTTTCTCCATCTTTTCAGGGTTTGGGATACATGCACAAACACCCAGGACATTTTCCAGGCTGCTGGAGCTGAGATTTGAACTGTGGTCAGCCATGTAGAATCTGTCTCCCTTAATCAATAGGTTATGAAGTTAGTCCTCACCATGGTGTTCAAAAAGACAAAAGATAAGTGTAGGCAAAGATGTGGAGAAAGGAGAACCTAGGCACTATCTATGGGAATGTAAAATATAATAGTGCAGCCATTGTGAAAAAGTATAGGTCCTCAAAATATTAAAAACTAAAACTACCATATCCAGCAATCAAAAACAGATCTGCCATACCCAACAATACCTCTTCTGAGTGTATATCCGTCTGTTGAAGAGATAGCTGTACTTCCAAGTTCTTTGTAACATTATTCACAATAGCCATGGTGTGAAAACTGTTCTATGTCATCAAGAACGAATGGACAAAGAAATCTAGACATACACACTCAGTGGAACACTATCTAGCCATAAGGCGGGAAATCCTGTCACTCATGATAGAAAGGACGAAACTGATGGACATTATGCCAAGTGAAATAAAGCAGGCACAGACACACACTGCACGATTCCACATCACATGAAGTAACAATGGTCTTGGGTAGACTGGCGAATTGGGTTGTGTTTGGTATTTTCTTGATCCACGCTCTACAGTGGTATTCATCGAATAGTTGGCAGAATTCATTTCATAATCTGGGGCCATAGAGCAAAATTTACTCCTTCCCCATGCAAAGCTTAATTGACCCAGGTTAGAACTGAATCTTCTGCATTCACGCAGTGGTATCGTGTTCTGAAACTTGAGCTAGCAGGGCCAGATGCGTGTTAAGATATAAAACAGTCACAAATGTGTGTACATGCCCTCAACCCCCACAGGATGGAAAAGTGGAGAAGAGATTGTGACATGACCATGACCCACTGCGGGAAGAGGTGTTTCATTCTCTCCCGCTCTGGCAAGCACATGTGTCCTCTGACTATTAAAAATAAATCGAAATTTGGGGGTGGACAGTGGCACAGTAGTGAAACGTAATGCTTAGATGTGAGAGTCCCGCATGGGAATGTTCCTGGTTCAGTCCTGAAGACCTCCCTGAGTACTCTGGGTGTGCCCATGCCCACAGTCCAGGGTGGCTAAAACTGAGGGTGGGTGTCGAAGTCAAGACCTCATTGCAGGTGTGCACTTTCTCACTTTCGCCATCTCTCTTATTCAGAGGAAAAATAAATAAGCTTTGAAAAAAGATATAGTCATAAAACTGCCTTTACAGAATATTGTTTATGGGACCAGCAGTTAGCGTAATGACTATGTCGCTGGACTCCCATGTAGTCGACTGTGGTTCGCGTCCCAGACCTAGTGGCTTAAACTCACACTGGCCACATGTGCATACGTGCCCAAGATCCTGAGAGGAGAATGGAGAAGGGATTATAGTGTGGCCATGCCTTCTAGGGGTGATTTCTCGCCTTCTATCTCTCTGTCTCTCTCTGTCTTTCTGGCAAGTGCACGCGCCCTATAGCAAAAACCTCTCCCAAAAAAAAGAAAAGGAACCCCCACAGGATGGAAAAGTGGAGAAGAGATTGTGACATGACCATGACCCACTGCGGGAAGAGGTGTTTCATTCTCTCCCGCTCTGGCAAGCACATGTGTCCTCTGACTATTAAAAATAAATCGAAATTTGGGGGTGGACAGTGGCACAGTAGTGAAACGTAATGCTTAGATGTGAGAGTCCCGCATGGGAATGTTCCTGGTTCAGTCCTGAAGACCTCCCTGAGTACTCTGGGTGTGCCCATGCCCACAGTCCAGGGTGGCTAAAACTGAGGGTGGGTGTCGAAGTCAAGACCTCATTGCAGGTGTGCACTTTCTCACTTTCGCCATCTCTCTTATTCAGAGGAAAAATAAATAAGCTTTGAAAAAAGATATAGTCATAAAACTGCCTTTACAGAATATTGTTTATGGGACCAGCAGTTAGCGTAATGACTATGTCGCTGGACTCCCATGTAGTCGACTGTGGTTCGCGTCCCAGACCTAGTGGCTTAAACTCACACTGGCCACATGTGCATACGTGCCCAAGATCCTGAGAGGAGAATGGAGAAGGGATTATAGTGTGGCCATGCCTTCTAGGGGTGATTTCTCGCCTTCTATCTCTCTGTCTCTCTCTGTCTTTCTGGCAAGTGCACGCGCCCTATAGCAAAAACCTCTCCCAAAAAAAAGAAAAGGAAAAACCTCTCCAAAAAAAGAAAAAAAGGAATATTGTTTATAAACCTATTTCTGCACTCATGAACACTTGGAAAAATGTTTCCATACAATACACTGTATTTTCACAGTAATTAGCTTCTCCATGCAAGATGGAGAAGGAGCTCTGAGAGAGGACACCCGGAGTACAGACTGCTCGCAGTCTGCAGCCATGTTCTATCTGTGCAGAGCAGCATTCGTTCCTGTTGGCTCTCCTTTCTGTCAGGCCCCCGTCTGGGGTCAGTAGTGGCTGGCTGTTCAAGGGCACGTGCAGAGGTACACCATTCTGCTAAACCACCTGCTGCTGGTTTTTGCACGCCATCGGTCCGCCAGGTCTCCTAACTTCCTGTTCTCTATTCTTGCATGCATGCTTCCAATTACATTCTTTCTCTAGGGCGTTTCTTCTGCCTGTGTGATTGCTTTACTTAGGGTCACAGTTACGTAAATACTTCTCGCATGTCTAAGGTCACCCACTGCTTTTACAGCATTAGCCACTTCCAGGCCTGTGGGATAGCCGTGCTCTAAACCTCCTTGTGACGGTTCATGCTCAGCCATAGCTCACAGGCTGTTCATTCTGAGAACCTCCACTGCAGTTCACGGAAACAGATTCTCTTCAGTTTTACTAAATTTCCTTTGAGGGATTTCATTCGGGAAATGTGTTGAAATGGTAACGTTAATGTTAGTTCTCATGAGGGAAGTAGTTTAGGTTATCTTTCCAAATCATACATTTATTTTATTGTCCTTTAACGAACAAAGTGGGCAAATAGTCGTGCAGATTATTCTCACTTTTCTTCACGTGTCCTGCCAAGATCAAGTTTTCAGATTACTGTATTTTAGCAGTTGTTGTAAGAAAATTCAAGCTTTGATGGGAAATGAGCTCAGGTGATCTGGACATTGATTCAGGTGTACTTGGCGTAGCAGTTCATTAACTGTGTGTTCATTATGTGTGATTACTCCTGAAAAGCTAGAGTGGCTTCATCTTTTCGGTTGCTTCATTAAATCATTCATTTTCTTGGAGGTAATTAAGTCATCTCAGTCTCCACAGATTTTTACCTTCACGTGATGTCAAGAACACTGAGCAGGTTAATGCCAGGCATTGTAGCTTACTCGCTCTCTGTATTGACTTTATATTTTATGATTATTTCATATTATTTTGACACATTTCATTTCATACTTAAATGATCTTACAAATGTATGTACCTTTTGATTACTTAGGGTTTTAGCGTGCGTCTGTCCTTCCTGTGTAAAAGCCCACTGATGTCTTTGAACTCCTTACCAGCAGCTCTCTGACACCCGGCTACGCGGCGCTGCTTCAGTTTATCCGGAACATCATTTATGAGGAAGGGTTCGATGGATCCAACCCCCAGGTATTGAGTACCTTCAAAGCCTTTAAAATCATGTATACAATGTTGTCTGCAAATTCTCAGGGGGAGACCCAGAGGTCTTAGAGTGAAAACAGTGAACGAGCTGTTTTCAAGCACAGGAGGCGTAAGGCAGCGTGGCATGGGCGCATCGTCCTGTCCACGTGGAGGTCGGGCGTTAGCAGCTCTCAGAGGGTGCCTGTAAGGTGTGCACGTGCACTCCCAGCCTTGATCTTCCAGTGTGGATTGGCAGCGCCCGAGATTAATAAGTAGCCGCATTTTAAAATCTGCAAGACTTGTACTTTTCTATCTAAATGTCTTGTGTTTCTCTTACCCAGGCCTTAATTCCAAATCACTAATTTAGGAGGAAGAATTATCTTAAGATTTTATTTATTATTATGATGCTTTTAGTTGTTGCATTGATAAAAGATACATTTTTATTTGCCATCTCAAAATATTTTGTAACTTAACTACTCTCTGTAGCTCTCATTTTAAAAACAGTCTTCCAGTTTCCACAAATAAAGATATTCCCATTAGTTTAACTTGAACAAAATAAGGAAAATTTCCTTTCTAGGTATCATACCTTTCAAAATTCATGAGTGATTTTGTTTTATTTTTTTTTTTGCTACATTTGTATTATTTTAACAGCATTTCTAGAGCACCATTATTTTTGTTGAAGAAGATCAAAGAAACCAAAAATCTTATTTTTGGCATCATGAGCTATATTTGTTCTTAATTCATAGATTTTAAAATAGTTTTGTAAATCTACTGCTCTACTTAATACTTTCTCCATAGCAAAATAAATCATTTGAATTTTGTTTTGATTGCCAGTTTAATAGTAGGTTAAAAATACTTATGTGCATGTGGTAAGGCATAGACATTATTTATAGAAGGCCTTCCACGCACGGCACCGTTTTTACAGTGGTCTTTGGTATTTAGTACAGTTTTATTTTGCTCGTTCTTGCTCCACGTTTGGTCCTAAGCGAAGATTTATGGGACCTCGTCTTCCCTTTGGTGCCAGTGCCCATCTGGGAGGTAAATTGGCCCCTGACAGACACCTTCCCCGCTCGCTGTGGTAACTATGGAAACAGGCATGTCACAACAGTTCCCGTGGTACACTGTGCGGCGCCGCTGCGCTTGCAGGGTGATGATGACACATCTGAGAGCAGGACATTTTGTAGAATGCAGAAAAGCAAAGGCCGTGCCGCACGCACAGGCACATCCTGGGAACCCTAATGAGCGGGCGACTGTGGCTGGAAGGAAAGGGGTCTCCTCGGCCGGTTAGTTAGGTATGAAAACAGAACCATGTTCAAGAAAAACGTTGTTCGTTTGTTTGGTTTTTAATGAAAACTGATAGACAGCAAACGGGAGCTGGTCTGGCTCTCTGGACAGAGGCTCTGTAACTGGCTGTCATGGAGATTAAGCAGAATTGAGGCTCACAGTTGTATGGTAAATGACAAGATCGCTGGAAATATTGCCTTAGCAAGTTTAAGAGTACCAGTAAGGAATCATAAAAATACACTTCTCATTGTATTGGAACTAAAATACAGTGAGTAAAGTTCCTGATTGTAAAGGGCAGCTCGGACTGCACATTAAACCACCTACTCTGAACATCTGTCATGAAACCACACAAGACACGTCTGCTGGGCACTATGTCAAAACGTATTTTTCCTGAAACAAAATAACGTTCTGACACTGAAATAAATCCTACTTTTTAAAAGGAAATTTTCTTCTTACTTTATCATTACATTTTAAAATAAACTGAGCTAGTTGGAGAGAATATAGACTCCAAGGACCAGAATGGTTTCAGGGCATTGCGCGTTACCTGGTCATTCACCTTGGCAGGTAATCAAGTAGTGGAGCTCATCTATAAAGGTATTTGGAGTGGAGACATTTATAAATCGCTGTTACGAGTTCATTTGGCTTTACGTCTTAAGTTTCAGCTGTCTAAGAAGCACACAGTGAAAAATGAGCTTTGGGCATCATTTTTACTTATAATCCCAGATTAATTATTGTGGATGTCCTAAGAATGCATGTATCTGTTAGTCGTCTGCCAGCACGTGTCCATTTTCTGGATCTCAGCAGGCTACCCAGAAGTCCCCACTGCTGCGTCATGCATAGAGTTTGTGGCCCAGACCACATGGGAGTGTTGTCACTGAGCCTGTTTTTGTAATTACGTCGTATTTTTTAATATATTAATACACGTGTACCCCACGTTGAAGTCTTCTGCTCAGTTACGTTCTGATGCGCTGTGTGCCTACCTCGCTGAAGTAGCTCCACACTCTTCGGTTCGTCGGCTTTATTTTTACCTTCTGTGTGTGTATCAGTGTGTCTGTCAGCCACAGACTCGGATCGGGCCCTGACTCCATGCTGATAGCATTTTTGCTGGGAACGTTTAACAGGTACTTTCTGATATAGCTGCAGTAGGCAGCGGTGGCCATGGGTTAAGAAATCGCGGTGGGTTTCTGAAACGTCGACCAAGCAAGCAATAGGAAGCTGTTCTTTTCTTCTTTTCATTCTAATATTTTATTTATTTTTTTCTTTCCTAAGTTTCTCTCTCTTTTTCTCTAAATAGCTCTTCCTGTTGGGAATGAAAGCTAATTATCATGAGACTACATGTTTTGGAATGGTAAAATGAGCTTTCAATTTTTGCCATTTTACTGAAATTCTGAAGTTCTAAGTAACAAAAACAGGCAAACAAAAGGAATAACCTATCATCTTCCAAAGATGCCCCAACCAGTTCTCCAGAAAGGCCTTTATACACAGAACGCTGCCCCGGCGCAGCTTGCACCTCCTTCCACTGCAGCCATGTGGAAACAAAAGGCCGTTTTACGGACCTTTGAGGATCATAGCGCAGGTGATTGTCCCTCACCATCCTAACGCAATCAAAGAAGAAAACGTCACCCGCTGCCTGATAGTGTCACCACACTTCAGATCTGGGAGTGAAGAAGGTTTTTTTTTTTTTCTAATGTGCTTTAATTCCTTTTTTTATAATCTCATTCTGACAGTCTTACCCAGACCATTGTGTCCCCTCCTACAGCCGAAGAAGTGGATGGAATTAGAGAGTAATGTCCTGTCCTTGTAATTTTACAGAGCACAAGACTAAGGCCTCAGACAAGTTTGCCCCAGGTCATACCCTACCTGGTTACACGTGATGACTGTGTCTCTGCTTTGGCGTCTTACTAGCTACTGGTCCCTTAGGTTTCCTCTCACTACCATTTGAATGTTCATTTTCTCTACTTTTTAAAAAATCTGCTTGAAAATGGAATACACAACTCAGTTTTTCCCTGTAACATCAGGGAAATAGATGTATCGTGTTGGGCGATAATTGTTTGGCTAAGAAAGTCTGTGAGTAGTATTTGATAGAAGTGGTACATTTCAGGGTCCAGTCCCATCAAAACTCGCATCTCAGGTAGTACAAATCCCAAATTATGACTTTCAAAGAAAATATCTTATTTTTCCTATTAGAATAATAATAATAATGATTTTCTGAGTATTTGCATGAGCCAGGTTTTGTTAAAGCTTTTTTTTTTTTTCCGAACTGCTAAGAAAAACACAAAATATTTGTTTAGCTAGAGCAACTCAAACAGCAGAATTTTATTATAAACATATCTGCTGGTAAATACTTATTCACAATCAGTCAAGCATTTCTTCAATGGTTTTTACATATTCTCTTCTAAAGTAGCATCCAACATTATTGTTAGGACCTTAATGTCAGTGGACTCAAGTTCTAAATGTTCAGCTGTTAAATTTTATGAAAAGTTGAAGTTCAACTATTACTGTAGAAACAAGTTCAAGAAAAAAAACTAGGGGTAAGTGTAAAATGTAAAACCAAAACATTATGCATCTTTAAACTTCTTTCAAATAAAATTATGAGGCAGTATACAGGATACAAATAAATGACAAATATTAAACAGTTTATAGCTTCTTGAAAGGCTTATAGTTTTCTACTATTGAGGAACATTCCACTTTAGAGTTTCTCTGTTGTTACCTGTGATATGTATTAGTACATAAAATTTTTACCACATCTGTTGACATTATGTCCCTGATCTTAGAAATAAAATTCAAAGCTTGTGTCTTATTAATTAACAATGATGTGTTTACCTCTCCCACTCTTCTTCAGAAAAAGCAGAAAAACATTTTAAGACTAGGAATTCAGAATCTTGGCTCGCCTCTCTGGGGAGATGACATTTGCTGTACAGAAGACTGTGACAACAGTCACGGCCTTACCAAATTCCTCTATGTCCTCCGTGGGCTCCTGCGAACCTCTCTTTCAGTCTGTGTCATCACCATGCCAACGCATCTGATCCAGGTGAGAACTTTCCAAAACTACCTCCCATACACCTGTGGTGAAGTGGTACAGCCGTGTGCTTAGTCTCTGCTTCTGTGATGGCTACTGATGGCGGCCATCTTTCCAAGTGTGTGCTTTGTTGTTGTTGTTGTTGTTGTTGTCGTCGTCATTGTTGGGTTCATTTGTTTTTGCCATTTGCACATCTTCTTTTGTCCATTTTTTATTAGATAATTTCTTCATTATCGATTGCTTAAATTCCTTGTATATTTTAGTTGCAACTTTGCTGTAATTTTCTTCTCTCTGGGGACAGACAGACAGGGAAAGTGAGAAATCACCTCTCAGGGGGATGGCCGTGCCCCAGTCCCTTGTCTTGAATTCTCTTCTTGGGATTTGGGATATGCATGCACATGTGCTTGATGTAATTTTCAAACTGCTGAGTCCAGACTCGAACTGTGGTTAGCCCACCATGCCACTAACTTGTCCCACTTTTCTGTTTTCTTAACAGTGTCTACTGAAAAACTTAAGTTGGTTTGATAGTTTGTTTTAATTTGCCATAGGGCATATGCACTCACCAGAGAGAGGGAGAGAAATCATCTCCCCGAGGGATGGCCATGCCACAGTCCCTTCTCTTCCATTCTTCTCTCAGGATTTTGGGCACACACACCCACACTTCTGGTGTATTTATCAAGCCCTGGGTCTGAGATCTGAACCACGCTGGTGACCACCTGGGATTCAGCCACCTTAACCACCATACCACTGACTGACATGAAGAGCCAAAGTTTTTCATTTATTTATTTATTCTTTTAATGTCAGAGGACCACCTGTACATTAATGTGAAAGAGAGAGAAAGCACCTCCCAGCAGGGCCTGGTTGTGCTTCTGTCTTTATCGCCAATTCTGCATCCTGCTAAGATCTTGAGTATGCACATGTGGCTTATTTTTCAAGGAGGCAAAGCCACGACTCAAACCCTTGTCAGCTACGTGACATCTGGCTTCCTTTGTGCCATGCCCAACTGCTGTATCACGGGGCTGGGTTAAGTTTTGAATCTTGATAAAGTTTAATTCATCAATTTTTTTAATAGTTGTGGTTTCTCTCCCTCAACTCTCCAATTTTTCCAGTCATTGCATTCTGCAAGTCTTTTTTCTGTTTTCTTCTAAATGTTTTATAGTTTTTTATTAATAAATCAGTATTTTTGCATGTGAATTATTTACACAATTAAGTTCATGTTCTCAAACCATGTTCTCAAACAGCTTTTGGTTCTTTACCTAACATTCTCATTATGTGGTAATCTATTTTACATAAACTAGTTCTCTTTTAGTTGGTAGTACTATATACTAAAGTACGTATCGTGTGCCTCAGACCTGTGACTTCATGTGATCTTATGTAAGCAATGTACTGTAGTCTTTATGACAACAGAGCCAGATACTTATACTTTTATTTATGACTTCATGATAATATATTAAATATGGTTTTTAAAATGCTATATGCTTATTAATTGGTAATTAAATGAATATAGAGTCTTACTTGAAAATCTGTTTCTAATACCTCATTGTTAAAACTACTGGAATTTGCTTTTATTATAAATCCATGTGACTTGAGTATCTTTATTCTAACATACCCAGACTTTACCTACAAATCACAAATTATTAAAATGATATTTAGTTACATTAATTATATACACATACATCGAATACATCTAACTGTGACTGCAAAGTTTGGCATGAATAAGAAGTGGATTTTGACTTCTCTAGCTATAGAATTTATTTGTAATAGTCATAAGAGCATCAGACCATGGTGTGGTGATCAGAGCAGCTGCTTCCACATGGCCAGCTGCACAGTTCAAGTCCTGGACCTGGTGGCTTACAAAACACTCCAGATAATGGAACCAACATTTGGTGTAGTGGCTATGTCGCTGGACTCCCACATAGTTGACCGCGGTTCGCGTCCCGGACCCAGTGGCTTAAAACTCATGCCGGGCGCATGTGCGGGCGTGCCCAAGATCCCGAGAGGAGAATGGAGGAGAAGGGATTGCGGTGTGACCATCCCCCCTGGGGGGTGATTTCTCGCTTTCTGTCTCTATGTCTCTCTCTGTCTGTCTGGTGAGTGCACGCGCCCTATAGCGAAAAAAAAGAAAAAAAAGGCCCTCTCCAAAAAAAAAAAAACAAAAAAAAACCACTCCAGGCAAATGTATGTGCATGACCCAAGTCCCAAAAGGAGGAGAAGGGACTGCAACGTGACCTTCTCTCGTGGGGGTGCTTTCCCTCCCTCTGGTGAGCACTTGTGTCCTACAGTGATTGTAAAGATAAATAAATAAATGATCAGCTTTTCTTTAAGTTTTTTTTGACACGCGTGAACCTAAATTATTACAGTAAGCTTAAGATTATATATTACAGGGAAATCTCTAATCATCTTAGACATTTACACATATTTGTATTGTTTTCATTGTTAATGATGCTAAGTTTCTGTAAAGTTAATACTTTAATAATAGTTTAGTTGAACCTAGGAGCTTCTTGATTTTCATGATAGATAAACCCAAAAGAGGCTGATCAAGTACTGGCTGAAATGCCACTCCCCGTGTTGCCACTGCAGCTGCGCTCGCCCACAGCTGTTCTGGCACACACTACCTGCCCAGCGTCTTAGGCACGTTGTTTTGGGCCTTTGGCATGAGTCTGTGAGATAGGTACTTCTTGCCTGTTCGCAGAAAGCCACTCAGTTAGTAACAGCTAGGTCAGTGACTCCAAACGCCACCATCTTCACCATTAGGATTTAGCTTCTCTGATCATCACAACAGTTCTCTGAGATGCCATGATTTAAAATACAAACATGATAGTAATGCAAAACGGTTTCCCAGTGTCACATATCTATTACACATTTAAAGCTGACATTCAAACTCATACTCGTTCAGTTCAAAAATTTAGATTATTTTCCACCCATCACATAATATCCTTTTATGTCTTGAATTATTAACTACATTCAATGACACTAACATTCCATGATGAGAAAAGTTTTCAACTAACATTGCTATTATTCATATTTAAGGAGAAATTTATCATTGTAAAATCTTTGGCAAATTAGTGCATGTCAAAGATGAAGCTTAAAGTTCCATTTCCAGACAAGGGAAAATAGAACAAAAATATGAAAGTATGTTTCCTTTTGCAAAGCAAAGTAAAACAATTATGGGAGCCAGCTGATGGTATGGTGGTTAGATCACTGGATTCCCACATGGCTGAACATGGTTCAAGTCCCAGCCCCAACAGCTGGAAACATGCTAGGCAAGTGTGAGCTCATGCCCGAAACTCTGAGAGGAGAGTGGAGGTTAAGGGATTGCAGCGTGGTCTGGGCGGGGGGTTTCTCATTTTCTCTCTCTCTGGTAAGCGCATGTGCCCTGTGGCAAAAGCCTAAAAAGAAAAACAATTATGAAAATAATATACTGCATGTGTAATTTTTAAAATTTTTTCCAAAGTAACCTATGCAAAAAGAAGAAAGAAAAACACTTTTAAGAAGCCATTTTGTTAATTCCCGTTCCTACTTAGAGAAGAGACTCCAAGCCCATTGTGGATGTGTGCAGCCCTGATTCCGCTAGCGTTTGTTAAGAGAACAGCTGGTAGGACTAGCAGAAGGTGTTAGGTACATCACTGGGCTTCTGATGGCTGACTGCGGCTCAAGTCCAGGACCCAGAGGCTTGAAACAGAGCAGGCAGCAGGCGCGTGTGCATATGTGCCCGAAATCCCAAGAGATGAATGGAGGAGAAGGGATTGTGGTGTGGCCATTCCCCCAGGGGTTGATTTCTCACTTTCTCTCTCTCGATCTCTCCAGCAAGTGCATGGGCCCTATAGCAAAAATATGTCTGTTAAAAAAAAGAACAGCTGGGATAAACCTCAAGTCAGTCCATGGGAACCACTGATGAAGTGATGATTGAATGATGGGGTGAACTCTGGCTCATTGTTGAGCATGAGACAGTATTTTAATTTTGATATTTTACAGATATATTTAATCCTTTGCATAACTTAGAAGAGATATACTTTACATTTGTGGAGTTATTTTTTAAAATATTTATTTTAAGAATTATTTTATTTTAACTTTATTTCTTTTAATTTGACCAGAAAGGGACAGAATGAGAGAGAGAGAGAGAGAGAGAGAGAGAGAGAAGGAGGGAGAGAAAGAGAAAGTGAGAAAGCAAGCCACCAGGTCCAGGACTTGAACCATGATTGGCCATGTGGGAGTCCAGCGCCTTAACCACTATGCCACCTTCTGGCCTCAAATTTGTGTTTTTTAACATACCAGCAAATAAAGAGACTACTTTGAATAGCAAAGAATAGGGCCAGACTTTAGTGATGAGTATGAAATTATACAGTGTGACTGAGGGTTAACACACGTGCCTTAAAACAGAGAACATCTCTTTTTTAAAAACCACATGGCCTTCTATAGTTTTCTCATTTTCCATATTCTTCTCTAAATGCTTTTGCAAAGCTACCATTTAGTCTTTTCCCTCATCATAAAAAGAACTATAAAAAAAAAGTTATTTTCTTTGTTCTTTAAACATGATGTCTGACCATAAATTCTTATATCAAAATATTTCGGAGAAAATGTAAAACGTAACAGTTTGCCCAAAGCAGTTATGACATAATAAAGGATTGCGCCCTGACATCATACTCTCTTAGGGGCAGAGAATAAGAAGTGAAACAGCGTGCTCGGAAGTTGACGGACAGGCCCTGTTGCCCAGCACTTGAGGGATGCTGGATCTCACGTGGCCAACCCTGATTCCCCCTGCCCTGCTGGCTTGAGGGACATAGGGAGCGTGTGTGGTGCCAGAAATCCCCATGGGTTGGAGACATGGAGCAGTGCTTGTGGCATAGCCATACCTTATTGGGAATTCTCTCTCCCACACACATGAAAGAGCCCTCTGGCAACTTAAAAAGGAAAAGAAGTATAACTAGATACATGGACACAGAGCTGGAGAACTGTGCATTTATTGAGTAAAATCCTACGTAGTTGGGGCCAGAGGGTGCCCAGTGGTAACA